TCTAGGGGTGTCTCATGCAGGACCACAGGTGGCCACCAGGTCTCCTCAGTGCTTCTTCCCGTACATCATCATGGCCACCCCTGGTCCCCATGCATCTGCCCAGGACTTCTGGGGTCCGGGCTCCTCCCCTGCAGCCCCCCCATCTGCTGAAATCATCTCAGTTCATTAGTCAGTGAGGAAGGAAAGGAAGGAGGGGGGAGGGAGGGTCAGCATGTCCTCGCCGTCCCTGCACTGCTGCTCCAGCAAGCCTCTGGTCACATGCCCCTGTGCTCATGGAGTCTTTCTCCTCTCACCTCTGCATCCACCATCCTCTCCACGGGGCTTCCACATTCCAGGCTCACCTCTCGAAATCCCACCCTCCTCTCAACCTAGTTTCCTGACCCAGGATGGGCATCCAGCAGGCAGGGAGAGACTGAGTTCAGCTTTGCATGTGTCTTATTGTAAATGCATCAGGACCCTCAGGGACATTGGAAAGAAAAGAGGTCTCCAGAATGTGGCTGTCCTGACCATGAGGTCAGGAGTGACTCCGTCCCAGGAACCCCACTGCCCTCTCTGTGCCTGGCAGGCTTGAAGCCTGGGGCTGCCCCGTCTTTCCTGGGGTGGACACCTCCCCAACATGCACATTTGGTCTCCTGTAAAGTGGCTCCTCCCTGCAGAACCCATGGGGCAGCAGGAGTGGGGTTCTGGGCTCATAGAGCCCCCCGGGGGACCTGTGCTAACCTGCTGCAACAGCCGTCCAACTCTGTGGCTAGTGAGGTCCCGGGTCCTTCCATTGACCTGACTTCACTCCATCACTGGGTCTTGGAACCCCTGAGGGATCTGTTTCCGCATGGGTTTTACTGCAGGGCCTGCCTCGTAGGAGTGAATGATGTGGGGAAAGCTGAGACATGGCTGGGCACAGGTCATATACACGTCCAAAAAAAAAAAAAAGGAAGGAAACTCAGGTAGAACCAGCCGCACCTACATGTTGGTTGCAGTTTGGGGAAATGTGAAATCCTCAATGGGAGGCCATATCCCGTTGGGAACCAGTGGCATCTGATGCGTGGCCGAGGGGCTTCTCCCAGGTAACGGGTCTGTCAGGCCAGGAGGAAGGCAGGGAGGACCAAGTTTTGCTGCGGGCAGCCCTACCTGAACTTGGAAGTGGCGCCCCCATGCACTTTGTCTCTGCAGTGCCTGAACCAGGCGGCCTCAGACTCTTCAGGAGCTGAGCGAATGGAGGTGAAGCTCCTCACCTTCTCCTGGCAAGTCCTCAAGGTTGGCGGCCCTCCCTGCCGAGGTCGAGGTAGCTAGGAGGTCTGTTTTCAAATGTTACGGCTGGGTCTGCTTCCATTGAAGCCTAGAAAGTTAACTATAATCAGTCAGGCTTGGGTCCAAGAGTATATTTAGACCTAAAACATGAAGGGAGACAAGGTTCCAAGGAAGTCACCCTCTAGATCAGGGACAGAGTGCCTGGGACAACACGGGTGAAGGCACGTACCACAGCTTCCTGCCTGCACAGGATCCAGGCCTGAGCTCAAGAATGAGCACATCCCATAAATGGGACCTTTATCACCAAGGTCGCTAGGAACCACGACCCTCCCGAGGCACAATTAGGAAGGGGTTTCTGAAGCCGTCAGTCTGTTCTATGCTCTCGTTATAACAGAGTCTGCATGACTGTACAGGAGTCAAAAATCAGAAACTGGTGTAGCAGATAAATCATATGATGCTATAAATTATACCATACGGATCATTCCTATATACTACTGTATGTAATGTATAAGTTATACCTTATAATTATCATTCCATATTGTATGATAATATTATATCATACCAGAAATTATGCTTTAATCAATTGAATTTTTTAAAAACAAGTTGTTAGGAGGGTACTTTGTGGCAGGATGATGCCTTTTCAGGGAGCCCTGCCCTGGCCCCGCCCCCTTCCGCCCACCCACAGGCTGGGTGAGGTCTGGATTCCCCCCTAGACAGCCCGGTGCTCCCTGTGCTCCGCAAAATGAGACCTCAGAACACAGGACGCCCTGAAAGTATCTTCCTGTGCCGTGCCTGGCCTGGGGCAGCCGAGATTCTGTTGCTACCTGTGAGAAGGAGACCCCAGTCCTCTTCCCCTGAAAGTACAGGAGCAGCCTTGAGACTCTGGAGGGCCAAGCACAGAGCAGTTCTAGGCTGCTGTTCCCACCACCCCAGGTTCCCTGGTTATGACAGTGAGAGGATCCGTCACCACCTTTGTTTCCTCCTGCTCTGCGGGCTTTTTATAAATGCTCTCAAAAGCTAAGCAGATGTTATATCCCCAAACAAAAGTCCTGGAACTTATCACCAAGGACCTGGAAGCCTCTTCCCTGCAAGCGAGTTTTCCAGGGAGAAATGTTGGGTCTGTGCACCAAGTGGCTTATCCCAGCAGAAAAGAACAGCTTGGGGGGATCTCACAAACACAAAACCAAACCACTTGGCGTATTTTCTGCAGAGGACCCTGGATTCACTCAGAGCTGCTGAATCTGATGTGACTTTTTCACGGTGGAGCTGAGACCACCAGAAACCTCCTCATGGTGCACACAGGGTGCACCCCGGCCTGTGTGTCCACACAGCTTGCCCACTTGCTTTCTGAAGGATGAAGATGAGAAACTGGGTGCACTTGTGTTTCTAGCTATCCTCAGCACCATGTTCTTTTAGCATCACAGTTTTTTGAACACTAAGCTGCCTCCTCTGGAGCTTCCAGATGCACATGACGTAGGGAAGGCGGTGACGTCCCCCAGGCCTTGCTGACCCTGCTTTGAGAAAGGCACAGAATGGTGTGAACACCCAGCCTCCCTGACCAGAACTGTTTTCCTCCAAGGACTTAGGACTTCCATGTGAGCTCCCCATTCACTTGGGCCCCTGCCCTGCTTTTCTGAAATGCAGACATTCCTGGCAGGGACAACACTGCACAGGGGCCCACCACGTCCCTGCACTCCCTCTGTGTCTTTGGGTGGTCCAGCCCTCCTCCCACTTGCTCTGGGGGGCTGGACTCCCAGGAGGACAACATACACCTGGTTAATGGGGCTGACCCCAGCTGGAGAGGGGTCTTGGCTGTCTCCTCTTCTTCCAGAGCTCCACAAGGGGCATGGGTCGGCGGAGTGTGGAGAGTTAGGGGAAGGGGCTGGAAGAGAACGTTTAAAGGAGGAAGAGGGTGAGGAGAGAGCCGAATCCCACTGACTCCGTCTCCCCTGTGTGGGGGACGAGGTTCTGAAATGGCTTACTTTAGAAAGCCAACCAGATCCCAAAGCCTGCCTGCTTTTTATAGCACATCAGCCCCTGGTTCCAAATTAGCAGCTTAATCTCCCGCCACCGCTCTGTTCCCAGGGGAGGACTAAGCCGCTGGGGAGGCCCCTCCTGCACTGCCATCATGACAGCTGTGGAGAGTCAGGGCTGAGGACTGAGAGGCCAAGGCCGGGCAGGAGAGCTAGGGAGGACCCCAACCCAGCTCCAGAACCACAGTGGCCCTGCGTGGCCCTGAGCCCCCACCTCCTCTGCCCCAGGAAGGTCTTGGCTCCAGGTTCTGCTGTGTCTGGCTTTGTGCAGTGAGTGGGCGGATCACACTCCTGGTCTCTAGCCGGTGCCTTGCGGGTCAGGAGGGACTCACTGTCCAAGGATCCTGAAGAAACAGAGCGGCGCGTCCTCTGAACACCTCAGCTTTGTCCCTGTCCCACAGCAGCCAGGCCTTTGCTCCTTTCAGGTGCAGTCCAGCTGGGGCCCTGCTCCCCAGGGCTGCCCTTGGAGGCTGGGGAGGGACTGGCCCCGGGTTGAGTCCTGGCCTTTGGTTCAGTGTGTTCGCTTCTCAGGGCGCCATAACCCAGCAGCACAAACCAGCAGCTTAGACACAGGGAAATGTATCATCTCACAGTTCTGGAGGCCAGAAACCCAGATCAAGGCATCGCAACGTTGGATCCTTCCAGAAGGCCTAGGAGAGTCCCCCCGCCCCCAGGCTCCTCCTCGCCGCAGGCACCTGCTGGCAATCCTCGGTGGCTCTTGGCTTTCAGACGCATTGCTCCTCTCCCTGTGCCCCCCGCCCAGCAGGCCCTCCCCTCTGTGGCTGTGACCCAGGCAGCCATGTAAGGCTGAGTCTCAAGGACACAGTCATGTTGGGTCAGGGGCTACCCTGCTTCAGGACATTCTCATTTTAGCTAACTGCATCTGCAAGGACCTGACATGGGTTGGATATGGGTGTCCCCGCAGAGCTCCTGGGTTTCTGCAGGAATCGGCAGAGCTGAAGTGACTGGCCTATGGGAGCTGAGACCTGATGAGTTCTAGTTTGAAGGACTGACTGGGTGGTAATGAGGCAGGTGGGCGTGGCTGGG